CGAGATGGTGACCTGAGCCGAAGTCGGACGCTTAACCGACTGAGCCACCCAGGCGCCCCCAGAAACCGCTTTTTAAAACTAAGTTGTGTGCATGTGGCCTCCGTGTGATCGCTTCCCACTAGCGGCTGGTAACTGCCAGCTTCTGGAGGCTTTGGGAGAGTGAGCTGTTTCCCACGCCCCCACACACAAGTCCCGCTGGGATGTCCGTGCGGGGAGATGTGTGGATGGGCTGGCGGGACGAGAGGGTGAGAAATGAGCTGGCAGCGCTCCTTCCCTGACTCCCTTCTCCGCAGCCTGCCAGCAGCACGCTCTGGAAGATCATCACTGTGCCAGATGGTGCTGGAAATTGTGTCCTCTAAACAGTTAACAGCCCGTGAAGACGGGTGTAAAGGGAGGGCTTTGCAAAGTCCACGCGTAACTCCCAGAACTCTTGTGGCTTTCTCTTCCCGGAGCCCAGATCTGCTCCACCCCTTTGAACCTTTTCACCCAGTTCTCGTCCTGTTGCAGGGTTTGGTCTTTAGTTCTCTTCTTAAGTGTCTACCCCGCCCCCTTCTCTAGTAGTGAGGTCTGTAGCGAGTGGAGGAGAAGGCTGGAGGAGGGAAGGGGTGGGGGGAAATAAGTGACTTGGAAAACCCAACCTCCCTCCCGCCGAAAGCCTTCTAATTGAGTCCTTAACAATAAAGAGTGCCTTGTTTGCATTCATGTTCTTCTGATCCACAGACTCTTAAAGAGCACACTAAGGTGCCATTTGCAAAATCTCTCCCATTTGATTAGGGCAGTTTTTTAAAAGTTGACTTATTTTTGAGAGAGAGAGAGAGAGAGAGAGCGCACACACACACACACACACACACACACACACATGCACGCACGCATAAGCGGGGGAGGGGCAGAGAGAGGGATGCAGAAAATCCCAAGCAGGCTCTCCACTGTCAGCACAGAGCCTGATGCAGAACTCAGACTACGAACTGCCAGATCATGACCTGAGCCAAAATCAAGGGTTGGACCCTTCACCGACTGAGCCACCCAGGTGTCCCTAGGGCATTCTTATTCACAAATTCTTGGAGTAAAAAGAGCAACCGGAGGGGTGTCCTGTGTCATCACAGGATTGTGCACTAACAAGAAAGAGCAAAGGGGTCAAAGCCTCATTCTTAGCATGGCTTTGCAGGAGACCCAAGCACTCCCACCAAGTGCCTTCCATCAAGGGGCTCTTTGTCCCCCTCCCTTTTTTCCCCAAGGAGTGTGGGGGTTAGCTGGATGAGAACACTGAGCTCTTTTTGTAGGGCGTTAAAAACTGATTTCAAGGAGGCTGTACACAGTGATTAAAGAGGTCCAACTTTGGAGTCTGGCTCCCTGGGTTCGAATCCCAGTGCTGACACTGGGTACCTTTGGACAAATTGATTTAACTTACCTCATTTTCTCCACCAGAAAAACGTGGAAAATAACAGTATCTAGTCTTATGGGGTTCTTCTAAGGATTAAATGTTAATAAGATGTCTGGAACATGGGGGCACCTGGGTGGCTCAGTTGGTTAAGCATCTGACTGTTGCTTTCAGCTCAGGTCATGATTCCATGGTCACATCTTGTGAGATCGAGCCCTGCGTCGGGCTCTGCACTGACAGTGAGGAGACTGCTTGGGATTCTCTGTCTCTCTCGCTTTCGGCCCCTGCCCCGCTCATGCTTCTCTGTCTCTCTCTTAATAAATAAATAAACTTAAAAAAAAAAAAAAAGATGCCTGGAACATGATAAACACTCAAAGTGTTAGCTATTATTTTGACAGATTAAACGAGACATAATAATTAATGATACCATAATGTCCCATTTACATGTACTTCTTTTTTTTTTTTTTTTTTAAGTTTATTTATTTACTTGGAGAGAAAGCCAGCACAAGCAGGGGAGGAGCAGAGAGGAGGAGAGACAGAATCCCAAGCAAGCTCTGTGCCATCAGCACACAGCCCGATGTGGGGCTCGAACTCACCAACTGTGAGATCATGACCTGAGCTGAAACCACGGTCAGACGCTCAACCGACTGTGCCACCCAGGCGCCCCGACGTGTGCTTCTTCTTTTTTTCTTTTTTTAAGAGATACGCTTCCAATTTATTTTATTTATTTATTATTACCTTTTTTTAAGTAAGCTCGACAAGTGGGGCTTGAATGCACAACCCTGAGATCAAGAGTCCCATGTTCTACTGACTGAGCCAGCCAGGTGCCCCCAAATTGACTCGTTACTTATTGTATCGTCATCTGTTTGTGTCAATCCTTCCCCATATCCTTCTGGATCATGGGATCCTTGAAGGCAGAGCCTGGGTACTACCCACAGCACCTGACACAATCCTGGTATATAACGACTGCTCAGTTTGTTGGGGAACGTGATGAAGGCTTTCACAATGGCTTATGTGTGAGGGGTGCTTTGCGAGAGGCAAAGCACGCGTGCATGGAAAGCCCAAGATTTGAAGTTCAAGACACGTGTCCGAGGTTGGGTGACTGGTCTCTGCCAGAGTCAGGTCCTGTGATTCTCGCCCCTGGAACCTTCCACTGGGTCATCCTGCTGAGGAGGGCAGTCCCGAGTCTTACAGTTTGGGACCCTGCCCTTCTCCAGTTCCGTTGTATTTGCCGGACGGGGGGTGCCTGTGGCAGTGTTCCGTGAGTGGCAGTTCAGAGTCCCTGAGGAAGACGGTTTTTTTTCCCTGCATGCCTCGTAACTATGCTTGGTTTTGTACAGGTCACCACAAATGGCATTATTGCCATGAGTGAACCCCCGGCCAAAGAATCCTCCCCTGGGCTCTTCCCACCGACCTTCGGAGTAGTTGCACCTTTCCTGGCGGACTTGGACACGACAGATGGCTTTGGGAAGGTTTATTACCGGGAAGACTTATCCCCCTCTGTCACTCGGCTGGCAGCGGAGTGTGTCCAGAGAGGGTTCCCAGAAATCTCTTTCCAGCCCAGTAGCGCGGTGGTTGTCACTTGGGAATCCGTGGCCCCTTACCAAGGGCCCAGCAAGGACCCTGCCCAAGAAGGCAAGGTAAGCGCTCACCCAGGTACAAGTGCGAATACTCCACAGGTTAGCTTTGCACACTTCAGTCTTCCTTGAAGGAGGGAAAATACTTGAGTGAGTCGAGAAGCCATCTCTAGATCTGAAGTCACTGTTCAGGACATGCCTCTGTTTCTCCGTAGAAAAATAATTTCACTCCGCCATTATTTAATGTTTACAGTATTACAGAGGAGAGAGAACCTTGAAAGGTCCCAAACCACTCCCTTTAAACACAGGAGGTTCCAGGTTGGTGGTTCCCAAAGTGTGTACCATAAAACACCCAGTCCTGCACGAGAGTCCTTGAGAAAAAAGCCCCCCCTGGGCAAGTAAATTTGGAGATGCAAAACTTTCTCTCTCCTGGTGACTCACTCTGAAAAGTCCTATGATAAAGAAGACCGTGTAATTTTCTTTTTAAGTTTATTTGTTTATTTTGAATGAGAGAGAGCATACGAGCATGCAAGCAGGGGAGGGGCAGAGAGAGAGAGAGAGGGAGAGAGAGAGAGAATCCCAAGCAGGCTCTGCACTGTCAGCACAGAGCCTAGTGTAGGGCTCATTCTCACCAACCGTGAGATTGTGACCTGAGCAGAAACCCAAGAGTCAGGTGCTTAACTGACTGAGCCACCTGGGAGCCCCGAAACTGGCTTAATTTTTAAAAAAATTTAGGAGTCCCCAAACCTTTTGGCCAGATTCTTTTTTCCCCTCCCGAATAAGACCCGTTACATCCCACAGAACACACTTGGGGAAAGTCTGTCATGGGCCTGTGTGACACAGTTTGCTTTTTGTATCTGTGTGAGTGCCGTCCTTGGAAACTGCTTAAAACCTGCCATTTCTGAAGTGTCTGTCTGTCCCTGTCACTTGAGTGATAAATGCCCAACCCCTTGTGTAGAGCCCTTGCCTGCCTCTTGGGCCTAATCTCCCCTTACTTCTCCACACACCCTTTGCAGCACAATTTACACGAAATTATTAGCAATTCTCTGATCATCCTGCTCCCCGCCCCCCCCCAATATCTTGCACTTGCTTTCCTCTCTGCTTGTGACAGCCTGTCCCCGACTCCCACGGCTGGTGTCGAACTTGTACTTGAGCCTCCCAACTTGCACAGCCTTGTCTGCTCCCTCCCTCCCAGCATCGGGCACTTCTTTCTGTGGCTGCAATAGCACTTGGATACAACTCCCTTAAAGAATCTGCCCCCCATTGTTTTTTAAGAGTTTATTTTTAAGTAATCTCTACACCCAACATGGGGTTCGAACTCCCAACCCCAAGATCATGAGTCACATGCTCTACTGACTCAGCCAGCCAGGCACCCCTGTACCCTAGTTTTGCAATGTTTTCTTCACATGTCAGTCTTCCCATCTGGACCAGAAATTTTCAAGCACAGGGACCATGGATTTATAGGAAAGATAACCAGTATTTAAGGAATATCGTCTCTGTGACTGGCCCTTCATATTTCACACAGATCTCCTATCATTTCTGCGAAGTAAATGGTTTTCTCTCCATCTGGCAGATTCAGAAATCCAGGCTTAGAGAATTTAAGTAACAGGCCCAAAGTCACACAACCCATGATGAGTCAAGCAAGGATTTGCACCCACATCTGTTTTCTCCCAGAGCTCACGATTCTTCTTACATTGTGTTGCTTGGGCTCAACAGGTGTATGCTAAATGCTGTTGAGCATGATGTTTGAATAAGTTTCATAGTAATGGAAACAAATTCTGTGGATAAGAATTTGCTAACTTACGTAAGATTTAGGTCTAGAGGTAACATCTCTGTAATTTTTGGCTAACCTTCATGCAGAAAGTATTCGTTCATTAATTGGAAAATTTCATGTTGACAAAGGCTCAGAAATATTTAAGTGGAGCCATCCTGGAATACTTGGTTTTTGCTACAAAAATACTTTTACAATAAGGTGAGGATACTGCCATCTCTGGATGTTCTCTGTGTAGTCTGGGAAATAGAACAATTTAAGATCCATCGATATTTTCCTGAGTAACTCAACCTCAACTCATCTTCACAGAGAAACACATTCCAGGCTGTTCTGGCCTCCTCCGATTCCAGCTCCTACGCCATATTCCTTTATCCTGAAGACGGTCTGCAGTTCGACACGACATTTTCAAAGAAGGATGAGACCCAAGTTCCCGCTGTGGTTGCATTCAGTCAAGGTGTACAAGGATTTATATGGAAGAGCGATGGAGCTTATAACATATTTGCCAACGACAGAGAATCAATTGGAAATTTGGCCAAGTACGCTTTCTTTGTTCTTCAGTCGATTATCCCCTTCGTGATCATTTCATTATTAAGATGATCATTTTATTATTTTACTAAGGATGATATATGATATAATGGGCACTATGGAACATTACCTAAAAGTGTACCCACAGATGTAAATTTTGTATGTAGTTTTTTTATATTATGTAGTGTTTTTTTCCTGATTAATTAAAAGTAATACACTCTTAGGATGAGCAGGTTTCCTATTTTTTAGATCTCATGCTCATATGAAACTGTTTCTACCATCTCTTCTGCAAGTATAAAGTTAGAAATAAAAGCTATTCAAACCCTATCTCCTGCTATGAACCCAGGGCTGAGAAAAACTTTCTACCGCCACACGGACTAGGGGAGAAATTCTCACAACAGAAATAGTGCTCTCTTGGGCTATTTCGTAGAATTTGGCGGAAGCGGGGAAAGCTCAGACTACTTTTTCTGAAACTAAAATCTTTCCTCTCCCAGTATGCTTTAAAAAATGAAGAAAGAACACCCTCCCTCAACATCATATTATCAAATTGACTCTAAAACTCCCCTGCCCTTGACTTAATGGCCTGCTTAGCAACTGGCTTTATATGGGTGAGGAAAGCCCTCATTTATACTTCTTGCCTATTTCCATGGTGTAAATTCTCCTTTATTGGCCGCTTTCTGGCTACCCACTTCGTGTTGCTCAACCATGGAGCTCAGAACAGAACCATTCTCAGCACGCAGATGCGATAGATTTCAATAACTTCCAGAACATGTAGGCGATCGTAAAATAAATCAACGTGATGAGTTTCAAGTATTTGTTGCCTTTGTTTTTTTAATGTAATTTATTTAATTATAAGCTTACGTAATTTAATTGCTTACAATGGCTGTGTTTAATAACTGGCTTGCAAAATTGCTAACATTTAACAACTGGTTCTCATGAGCTGGTGCTAGCAAGGTCCTGTATACCCTTGCCTTTCCTGGAAGTCCCCGGGAGACAGATTGAATACACATCTTATTTCTGCAGGGCTTTCTGGATCCTCATCCCCCCGTCCCACCCCAGCATCTTGCTCAGTGTTCCCCACCGAGGAACGTCTGTCCCCTCCTTCCGCTGCAGAAGCTGGTCATTTTGCATAGTTTCTGATAGGAGCACTTCCGATCACAGACACATAAGAACAGTAAACATGGTGCCGAGAGGGAGAGATTAGGGTTATTCTGCTGTGTTTTTTAATTATAAAAGGCCTTTAGATTCTGAATCTCATTTGCATCTCACTGTACCTTTGGAACATAAAAAGGTAAACTGAGGCCTGTTGAAGATTCCATGGCTGATAGGCTTGGGATTTCTGATCATCCAAGTCTGTACTGTTTTCACTCACAACACTTCTGACACCAAATAGGTGGGATTCCCCCCCTCCCCAATACCAAGCAATACTCTAACTCTCTGGACATCCACTTGGTGTCCTACAATTCAGTTCAGTTCTGACACTAACAGCCCAGGGTGAGCACGGACCCCACTGGTTAAGGGCTCAGTCCCGCAAGACCGGCCCCACTGCAGATGCCAGCCACACTTTCCAGGTTGCCACTTGTACTTCTGATCAACCAGCTCTATAAATTGGGGGTTTCTGTGACCCCCCCCAACCCCACCCCGCTCAGGTTGGATAATTTGCTAGAATGGCTCAGACTCAGAGAAGCACTTTTCTTACTATCACCAGTTCATTTTATGTTCTTTTTTAACGTTTATTTATTTATTTCAAGAGCGAGAGGGAGTGAGAGTGTGGTAGGGGCAGAGAGAGGGGGGAGAGAGAGAGAGAGAGAGAGAGAGAGAGAGAGAGAGAGAGAGAGAATCCCAAGCAGGCTCCGCACTGTCAGAGCAGAGCCCAATGCAGGGCTCGAACTCACAAACCCTTGAGATCATGACATGAGCTGAAACCGAGTTGGACACATAACCGACTGAGGCACCCAGGCACCCCACCAGTTTATTTTAAGGGATACAAGTCGGGAACAGCCCGGATAGAAGAAATGTATAGGGCAAGGTGTGGGAGGGAGAGGAGGCTTGAACCCTCCATGCTATCCCTGGGCACACCACCCACCAACGCAAAAGCTCTCCCAACCTCATCGTTTAGGGTTTTTTTTTTTTTTTTACATAAGCATGATGGATAAACTCATCGGCCTTGATGATTAACCCAGTCTCCAACCCCCTCCCCTCTCTGGAAGTCAGGGCGTGGGGCTGAAAGTTCCAACCTTCCAACCTTGCCCTGGTCTTTCTACTGCCCCGCCCCCATCCTGAAGCTCCCCAGGGTTGCAGCCACCACTCGTTCATTGGCAGAGAAAAGCCCATCTCATCACTCCAGAGACTACAAGGATTTTAGGAGCACCGTGGCAGAACCAGAGGTTTCAGGCTGATGCCAGACCCCCAGGGCTCCTTCTGCTTGGTTAGTGAGGGCGGTTTGTGGTTGCTGGCCTGTTTTTAAGAAGCCCGTCCTTCTCCTCTAGGAGCAGTAACTCCGGGCAGCAGGGCGTCTGGGTGTTTGAGATTGGGAGCCCGGCCACGGCCAGTGGTGTAGTGCCCTCCGACGTGAGCCTCGGACTGGACGACGGAGCAGAATATGATGATGAAGATTACGACTCGGTGACACATCTGGGCCTAGAGGACGTGGGCACGACATCCTTCCCCTATGAGGCTCCGAGAAGCGGAGACCCCAGCATGCACAGCGTGCCCTGGGTCCTCTCCCCCCGCCGCCTGCCCACCGAGAGGCCCCCTGGACCTCCCGGACCTCCTACGGAGAGGACCAGATCTTTCCAGCTGCCGGGGGAGAGGTTTCACCAGCAGCACCCACAGGTCATAGACGTGGATGAAGTTGAGGAAACAGGAGTGGGTAAGGCCTTTGAGGTTGCAGCTGGTATGTTCCTGGACACTTGGGCTTCCAGACAGGAGTCCTGCTGGGGGGATGTCAGTTGCGTGTCTCACATGGTGGTTTGTGAGGACGTGAGCTGGGGAAGTAGAGGCAGACCCCGTTCTCAGCCGTAGAGCTTCGGTGGATGGGCCTGATGGCTTCAAAGACTCCAAGCCATCTTTTGGGATTAGGGCTGCGGTTACGGGGGACTGCTGAGCGGGCGTTCTGTCGAGTTTCCTCTTACTCGTTTCTGTCGTTTTAAAGAGAAAAGTGCTTTGGAATTATTTTGCAAGTCTGATTTTCTTATTGGTGACCTCTGGGATCAGAAATGTATTCACCCACCTGAAAAAACATTTTCGAAGTTTCTTTGGCTATTTACGCAGTTTATCTTTGACGTTTATTTCCTCTTGGTTTTGGAAGGAGAATGGTTGATTATTTTTCCTCCCCGGTCCTGTCAGCTTCAGAGTTGGTTTGTGAAGATTTAAAAATGCAACACAAACAGAGCCCTCTTTTAAAGATAGTTTTAAAATACAGTCTCTTCTAGTCAACCACGTTCTATCAGATTTTTGCTGCATTCTGAGGGAAAACCATTTGGGCTCCAGCGTGCTTTGATTTGTCGTATAAAAGATGTTCAAATTAAACTGTATTTACTACGTTTCACTCTTCAGGCTGACGCATAATCCATTAACATTCATATAAATGAGATGGTCCAAGCCTTTAAATGTTGTTTACTGCGACTCTTTCCTGCTTCTACTACGAAGTTTTAAGGTCCCCAGGAAAATCTACTCCGTTGCACATGATTCACTCTGTTTTATTTCTCCTTCTGATTTGTTTCATCCAGGTCCTTATACGTGTTTGTTCTTTTCGAATATCCCAAAGCATGGACAAGATCTGGTGGGCAGGGGAAGAGTGCTTACTTTTTAGGCACAGAAATGGGGAAATTACCCCTTACTGGCATGATGAGGACATGGGCTCATGTCTCAGGGCTCCCCTATACACGCTGCGCCCTGGATTTCTTGGGGTGATGCTAACAGCTAGCATATGGCACTCTGTGCTTACAGCTGGTTCCAGACTGATTTCCCCGAGACATGTAGGGTGTGTTTACTCGTAGAACTTGTTCCAGACTGATCCCCCCAGACATGTGGGGTGTATTTACTTGTAGGTGTTTAGTCTGGAATCTTATTCTGCTTTTCCCTGTCTAGGTGTCTCTGACATAACATTTGTGAAGCTTTCATCATACCTAGCACCAACAACTTATGGTGGTTTATTACTTGGTACTGGTAAAAGCCTAGACTTGAACCCCAAATATGTCTAGAACAGATGTTTCCTGTCCCTCCAATCCCACTGTTTTTATTAGAAAGGTCAGTCTCCTGTAGCCAGCAGTACATTCCCGGTGTTCTTTGAAAAGTCACCCACAGATACACAGGCCATAAGGGACCCACTGGGAGCTGGGCCCACAGCTAGAGCTGAAGTAATTAGCCACGTCTTGTGTGTTCAGCTCAGGGCCCGAATGTTCCCAGCTCCAAACGCCACCCTTATACACACTGGAAATTCCCTTCGGAGGGTGTAGACTAATCAAATCCACCACTAAAGGTTAAACTTTAATCTTCCCTCGTAACAGTCACTTATAAATTGGATCGTTATCCCCTCTGAAAGTCCATCCCTCTTGTGCTTTTGAAGTTCATTGCAAATTAATTTGCTCTGGATTATTAAATTTAATGAGCTAGTTCATAGTTCTAATGAAATGGACCTGGGAAGTAGGAATTTGAAATAGAAATTCTTTTTGTTTCTTGGGTCAAAGGCCTTTAGACCAAGGATGACTAAAGAATTACTTCGAATCAGCTTTTGAGTATAAGGGCTTCTGAGTTTTCCCCTGGGGAGAAGAAAGAGGCAACAAAGTTTTAAAATATTTTAGGTCATTAAAATGACACATTTTATGAGATAGATCTATATGTGTAATTTTCTTTTACCACAATAAATAACAGTAAAAAAAAAAATTTAGGGGCACCTGAGTGGCTCAGTCGGTTCATCATCTGACTCTTGGTTTCAGATCAGGTCATCATCTCGAGTGTTGTGAGTTCAAGCCCCACATCAGGCTCCTAACTGACGGTGCAGGACTTGCTTGGGATTCTCTCTCTCTCTCTCTCTCTCTCTCTGCCCCTCCCCCACTCACCCTCTGTCTCTCTCGAAAATGAATAAATAAACTTAAAAAAATTTACGGTCTCAGGGGCACCTGAGTGGCTCAGTTGGTTAAGCGTTGGACTTCAGCTCAGGTCATGATCTCACAGCTCATGGGTTCGAGCCCCGCATTGGGCTCCGTGCTGACAGCTCAGAGCCTGGAGCCTGCTTCGGTCGGATTCTGTCTCAGTTTCTCTCTGCCTCTCCCCACTCACGCTCTTGTCTCTCCCTCAAATATAAATAAAAATTAAAAAAAAAAAAAAAAGTACGATCTGCCCCAAAATGTCAAGCCCATGTGGCTACATTACCTGGATCCCATATTAAGATTGTATTTGGTGGTAGTAGCCTAATATCGATACAGTGATAATATTGATTGCATGACCCAGTACGTAGGATTATAGCATTTTATAATAATTTACCCTTGCGATGTCTCAAACCCCGTTTAGACCCATTTGCCTTCGTGGTTTGCGTACTGCAGCCACCATACTACGTAAGAAGCTATAGGTGTGAGCACTGTCCTGGAATCCCCCCAGCAGACGGGAAGGGCTTGGGGGCGCACAGTGTCATTAACCCAGCCTGGTCCACCGCCATGCAAACGCTAACCGGTATGCCGTGTTTTCCCTAAACAGTATTCAGCTACAACACGGATTCCCGCCAGACGTGTGCCAACAACAGACACCAGTGCTCTGTGCACGCGGAATGCAGGGACTTCGCCACGGGCTTCTGCTGCAGCTGCGTTGCTGGCTACACTGGGAACGGCCGACAGTGTGTCGCAGAAGGTACTCGGCTTTTGTGTGTTCCATTTGTGCGGGAGGAAGGAGGGAGTGGAGTTTCTGTTTTGGTGCTTGTTTTGAAAGGTTGGCTTTTACCCAGATCTCTAAAGGTGGGTAGTCTTTTTAGTAGGGCAATCATATTTAATCTCTCGTTCCCATTCTTTGTCATCCTCTCCTAAAGGGTTTTTCTCGGGGAATGCCCGGTTTTCTAGCACGGTGAGGTCTCTTTCTTTCCTGCGCTGTTTTTCCCTCCATCTTTGAAATGAGCCCATCTTCACAACTGCCCCTAGTGTTGGACAAAGGCTGAAGTTTTGAAATAATGCGGCCTGGACCTGGCATCGTTAATGCCTCTTGTTTCCCTCACTTTCTTTCCAACCTCCCGTGTGGCGCTGCTCGAAGACCTGACTGGCCTAATGGTTGTTAAGCCCCAGCTGGGCCAACGGGGGCGGCTGTAGACCAGAGTTTGTAGTGGGGAAAAGTCTAGTCCAGTCACCCTTCCCCTTGGGTTGTCCTTCCCCCATGCCTCTAAAATCACAGCACGATGATGGCAGAGCATAAGGGGCACGCCAATTAATTCCGGGCTCCAGACCCATGGGGGGGCTGACTGCAAAATGGATTCAGCTGTGGGCGGACCTCGGCTCTGAGCTCTGCACCCAAGAGGACCAGCCAGTCTTGATGTTCTCAGGTGAGAAGAATCCTCTCGGTGAAGGTCTAGGGGGTCAGACAGTGAGGCCTCCAGGAGGTTAGGGCCATAAAATTAAAACCAGCAAAACCCTACCATACTGAACATTTGTCCCCTTCAGACACCAAGTCACCTCACTTGTCACCGGCCATTTTCCTTGTGTTTCACCGGGAACCTCAACTGCTTTGCAAATTTGACTAAATAAAACTCAGTTGCAGAAATGGTTTCTGTTTTTCGCATCCCCAGCCATAGCTGTGGTAAAATCAGTTAATTTGCTAAAAACATTTCTTTTTCTTCTGGGTCACAATGAGATAAAGTGAGTTTTGTTAAATACTATCTGAAGCAATGAAAGAAAATTATGTGTACTTTTCATGTTAATTTAGGGGGATGTTTTGAACTTCTGTAAATGTAAATCCCACCCCACCCCCCAGGTATGGTGTGCCTTTGCTTCTTTGTTTTAGGCTTGGCTTTTATGCTTCTCACCCTGAGACAAGCTTCTAGAATCGACACTGAAAACTTTTCTTAAAGAGCAGCCTCCTTAGCTCTTTCTGTGCCAAATATCAGAGCTGGAAATGCTGAGCAGTTTGTGCTTGTTTTGCAAGCTCAGATATAACAAACTGTTCAGCTACATATTTTGATATTCTATACACGCCCCGTAATAGTTCTGTGGTTTAAATATTTGTTGGATTCTTGCTACTTTGGAAACATTTTTCTGGCTCAAGGTTTGGTGGAAAAAATTTGTTTGGTTTCCTTAACTTGGCTTTCCTGCCTGTTTCTGTAATTGTTTAGGGGATGCATTTTTTTCATATTAGTCGTCCCAATTTAATAGCATTCCCCAGTGCAGTGACACAATTTGTGTGCGTAGTTATTGTGTGTGTATGCTTTGGCTTGTCAGTGACCCTTGGGCATCCCGAACATAGTGAAAGGTCTTCTGAACATGGGCGATGACGGTCAGGTACAAGCCGCTCTGTCTAGTGTGACTCAACAGACTTCATTAAGAACTTAAATATGAGCAGAAAACTCTGCAGAGACCAAGTGAAGGAGCTGGGTGGGAAAGTCCTGTCCCTAGTACTCTAGGAAGAGAAACAAGATATGTGCCGTCAATAACTGATAGAATTTAATTCTTTCTTTTTAAAATGTTTATTTATTTTGAGATTGGAAGAGAGAGAGAGAAAGCA